CCTAGCCTCTTTCTCCCCCACCGGCAGCCCAGAGGTCCAAAGTTCTCCAACGCCAAGAGGAACAGGCCCTGCCAGGCTTTCCCTGGGATCCCAGGTATGGGGGGGGCAGACCCCACCTGGCCTGGGGAGTGGGTCTTATCTGCAGCCGAACTCGGGCCAGCTCGAACCCTGCAGAAACTGGGCTGGGAAGGACCCGCATCCCCTCCCAGGGGATCCAGGGCTGGGTCCCTGCCGGCTCCTGATGCTATGTACTGTTTCCAGGTGAGTTCGTGCTGGAAGCAGCACCCGGCGTGCGAAGGAGCCTTGGTGCCAGCCTCAGGTTCGACTCCATCCCAGGTACCCTGTTCTGCACCAACCGGAGGGTTGCTTTTGTGCCAGATGTGCCCCCTGGAGCAAAGGTGGGTGCCGGGGAAGCTTGGGGGGGGGTCCCCATCTATGCCATCCAGCAGCTAATCCCGCTATGTGCCCAGATCATGGCCGAGTGGGGTGTGGGGGGTATAGCCCGTCCCTCCCCTGACCTGGCTGCTCCTGGCTGTAGGCACATCCCCGCTGCTCCTTCCTGCACAGTGAATACGACGTGGCCCTACCTTGCATCGGGAAGCTTGTAGCAGGTAAAGAGGCCTGGGGTATGCAGTTGTTGGGGGTTGTAGGGATTGGCATGGGGCAGTTTGCCCCCACACCCCTCGCTGGGGCTGGAGGTGATGGGGCATCCCTGCTACCCTCTGCCCTGGGAGTGCTTTCTGCATCTGGGGGCTGAGCCCCCCAGTTCAAGCCCCTGACCCGGCTTCTCTGCTGCAGCCAGCAGCGTGTCCAAGGCCAAGGTGCTGACAGCCAGCTCCAGCCTCAAGTTCGTGCCCGAGGAGCTGGTCCTGTACTGCAGGGACTTCCGTGTGCTGCATTTCCGCTTCCCCGAGAGTGGGCTGGAGCCGGGTGCCTTCCGGGTGAGTCTGACCCTCCCTCGCGCCCCTGTGGCAGGCAGGGACCCTGCTGCCCATGCGCTGCGGGGCAGATCCTCATATTCCCGTATGGTGGGAGGCAAAAGGCAGCTGGGGTCAGTGGTTACAGCAAATGGGGGAGGATGTAGGTTGGTGTCAGGGGCTGGGGGCCCGGACTTCTGAGTTCTTAGTTTGAACTAAGGGCTGGATTTCCTTTAGCATCCATGCACTCGGGGATCCCCCAGCCCCGAGGGGTTGGTACCAGCTGATCCCATACAAGATCCCATACTGTCCCTGGCAGGGATCATTGGACCCCTGCTAAACCAGATGGGACAACTGACAACTGATGCCCATGAAAAAACAAACTTGCTAAATGGGTACTTTGCATCAGTTTTTCACCAGTCCCATGGGACAGCCCTGCCCACTGTGGGTCAGGGATGCCCGGGTGAGGGAGATCCCTTACCCTCCATCAGTGCTGACCTCGTGAAGGAGCACCTTGACAGGCTGGATACTTTCAAGTCAGCCGGCCCTGATGGGTTACACTCCAGGGTACTCAAGGAGCTGGTGAGCATCATAGCCCAGCCCCTGGCACAGATCTTTGAGAGCTCCTGGCGCTCTGGTGAAGTGCCCGAAGACTGGAAGAAGGCCAATGTGGTGCCTATCTTCAAGAAAGGGAGGAAAGTGGATCCGGCAAACTACAGGCCCATCAGCCTGACCTCTATCCCAGGGAAGGTCTTGGAAAAGATTATCAAAGAGGCCATCCTTAACAGACTGGCTGATGGCAACATCCTGAGGGATAGCCAGCCTGGGTTTGTTGCGGGTAGGTCTTGCTTGACCAATCTCTTTTCCTTTTACGACCAGGTGACCTATCACCTGGACAAGGGGGAAGAGGTGATGTCATATATCTTGACTTTAAAAAGCCTTCGATCTGGTATCCCACAATCATCTCTTGGCAAAACTGGCCAATTGTGGCCTCGACCTCACCATGATCCACTGGCTGGGGGACTGGCTCTGTGGTCGGACCCAGAGGGTGGTGGTTGATGGAAGTCAATCGTTGTGGCACGCTGAGAAAAGTGGCATCCCTCAAGGCTCTGTCTTGGGGCCTATACTATTTAACATCTTCATCAATGATGTAGACATTGGTGTCAGAAGCAGGCTGGCCAAGTATGCTGATGACACCAAACTCTGGGGTAAAGCATCCACACCAGAAGACAGGCGGGTGATCCAGGCTGACCTGGACCGACTCGTGAAATGGGTGGACGAGAACCTGATGGTGTTTAACACCGAACAATGCAAGATTCTCCACCTTGGGAGGAAAAACCTGCAGCATCCGTATAGGGTCGGCAGTGATCCAATCCGGCTTCGGGTCCGGCTGCTTGGGATGTCGGCGATGCGATGCGATGGGGATCTCCGCACCAGGTTTCTGTTGCAATCCGGCCAACGCTTCGGAGCCGCCTTGGAGATCCAGCCATAGAGTATAATGGGGAATCAGTGGAAGATCGATAACTTTGTTGTTTTTTGTCCGATTTGGATGAAACATGCAGGAGTGGTAGCCTCTGCTGAGAGAATGAAATCTGCCAAGTTTCAAGAAGATCGGTGCAGGGGTTAGGGGGGAACTGTACCCCAAATTCTTGAAAGCCAAACTCATGTCACAGCTGTGTGTCACACCACGGGATGAAAACTGCAGGGCTGGTGGCTCGTACTGAGGCCACAAATCCTGCCAAGTGTCAAGAAGGTGGATGCAGGGGTTTGGGGGGAACTGCTCCTCAAGCTGCGGACAAGCACACCGGTGCCATGGGTGACACTGCATGTGCTAAGGTGCAGTGGGGTGATAGCTGCAGGGCTGGTGGCCCCTGCTGTGACGCCTGCCAGCTGTGGAGGAGATCGGTGCAGGGGGTCCTGGGGCCCTGCACCCCGAGCTGCTGACAGACAAAACTGGTGCAAAGACTGTGTCTGTTAAGTCGTTATGTAGTAGCTGGGTCCTGTGTATTGAGTCCCTGGTCCCTGAGTGAATCATGACTGATTGGTTGGTAACTGGGAACGCAGCAGCTTCTCAGCCGGGCGGCAGCAGTGTGTCCCCCCAGCCCCCGGACAGACACAGCCAGTCCCACAGCGCCCATGGCACCAGTTGTGCTTGTCTGCAGCTTGAGGGGCAGTTCCCCCCAAATCCCTGCACCGACCTTCTTGAAAGTTGGCAGGCCTCATCCTCTCTGCAGAGTCTACCACCCCGGAAAAGTTCATCCAAATCGGACAAAAAACAACAAAGTTATAAATATTTTATTGTTTCCCCAGTATACCCTATGGCTGGATCTCCTTAGCGGCTCCGAAGCTCTTCGGGAAGCTGGATGAGGCAGTGCCTTGACCCAGATATGCCGCTTTGGACCCCAAAATGTCCAAAGCTTCTCCAGATCCGAAGCTCTGTCTGAAGCCTCACACAGCCCTACTTGGCAGTGCTACACTGGTTAGCACTACAGATGAAAGGGACTTGGGGGTCATGGTTGATCACAAGATGAACATGAGCCTTCAGTGT